AACAAGGCAAAGGGCAATACAATAAAGTGATAAAAATTGAATAACGTTAACATGAGACACATTTAAAATAATTTGTTGATTTTAGTAGATATTAGAATGATCTTAATTTCAATACAGAGCTGCTTTATTTTCGATTTAGTGTCTTAGGACGGAATTTGACATTCCAGTAGCTGGCACACTGTATGAGAGCTACTGGCATGTGTCACGTCATGTACAAACATGTATAAAAGCTCTTGTGAATCTTGAAGTCTCGTGAATTTATATCAAGCTACTATTCTACTGTATGCGAATTGCCACAGTAGCTGGCATTCAAGCTATTACTCCATTTTATTAGCATGTTTTCCCGCTCTTATGTCATTAATGTAGGAGTTCCAAGTGACCTGGAATTACTTTATAGGTTGAGAAGTATCGCTGTTTGGACATCAACGACTCTACACTGTTCTATTATTGGGTAGTTCCGGGAGAAGTTTCGAGAGTCTTGATCTAGCGACCTCGAAGACCATGCACGATACCGATGCAACTTTAAATGAAAATAGTTCGTCTATGAAACGATCTTGTCACCTAACAACGCTGTTACGTACTGCCATTTTATAACGATAATAGATATAATAAGAGTAATAATACTTTTAAGAGGTTTCTAGATAATCTGTTTCTAATATTATATCATGATTCCGTCCTTTAATGGTTTATTTGTTACGTAATTTAATCGATTATAGTTTGACTAATATACAGCCACCTGTTGTCCCTGAAAATGGACTACAGTGTAACTCTATTGATCAATCCACTGGGATCGTTAAAACTTGGGACGCCTATATTGAGTATGTCGTGCGTCATGCACTTATAAATAGTACGTACTACGTACACTCGACTCATAAATAGAACATAAAAAATTAACCTACTTTTGCAACGTGCTCACAATTTCCTGGATCTACATGTGTTGTACAATGTCTCATTAGTATAGAAGCTTTTTCCCATTCATTTAGCACGTAGTTTACAAGCGTAAAAACGTTGTAGTGGAGGTAAAAAGACTATATTGTATTTTCATCTTCTGTACTATAGTATTCCCAGTCTCATGCATTTTATAGACAGAAAAATGTAGGCGTTTCAAATGTTAAGTTCATACGTTACATTTATATTTGAGGTATTTTATTATGAGAATAGCTTATGGATTGTTTTTCAAGTTGATGTCAAGTCTCTTAGTCGTAATTTTAGTCGTCAGTAACAATCTTGCTTCTTACTAATATTATAAATGCGAAAGTTTAGATAGAGGGATAGATGGATATTTGTTAGAGTTTGTAACCTAAATTGCTGAACCATCTGGATGAAACTTGGTGTAAATGTAGAGGATAGTCGGGAAGAATTCAATTGGCCACTTATTTTTTTTTTAATTTCTCGCGGACGGATTCGTAAATTCGTTAACTATATTGTAAACTCTAAATAATTTCCAAATCTGTGTACAGTCTGCGTGTTTTGATGGAAATCCACAAATGTAGGTTTATTCTGTATTTCTCTGCGGTACTTTATAGTTTTGGTACTTCTTGTTGAGGTGGGCATTCATACAGCATCAAAAGCCGGTGTAACCCTACCACTATATAATACCTGCTTGTTCAATATTGTGTTTTATTGCATTGTGTTTTAACTCCATTATGCGCAGGCTACGTTCCGTGAAATGATTACACGAAAAGACAAACTGTAAGCATTTATGAATGCAGTTTGTGTTTGCACCGCTAATGCTTACATAAGCATGGAAAACATTGACGTCCACCTGTGTTACTCATGTACGATATAAATGTGTACTATAATTTATACTTACCTACACAAAATAAAAAAAATTAACTTATCTTTCGTGCTAAAGCATTTTCAGATTTTATACGTTTTCTTTTTAAGGCAGCGCCCAAATTATCCTCGCAAACCCACCTTTCTAGAAAAGTCTTATAATGACATTTTTATACCGTTCTTTTAGCGTCCGTGGGCATGATGAGCTTCATTAGGTCCTAATATACATTTTGAACTTTTTTACGGCGATGAGAAATTCAGCACATTGAATTACATTTTGGACGGTTTTCTGCACAACGCTCTGTAGAATATGATGTTTTTTAAGTATTAAAACACCAATTTTTAAACTGAAATAGTAAACATAGAGCGTAGTTTTATTAACGTTAACGAAGCTTAATCTGCCTATGCATAAAATATTATTATAATAGTAATTATATGGCTTCTAAAATAACATGATGATGGTGTCTGTGCTTAAAAGTTATACGTACCGCAATTATTAAAAAAAATACGTATTTCGTATTTTTAATAAATGTAAACAACACAGTAGGACTGAGTATAAGGCTTTCTTAAGAAAAGTCCAATTCAGAATTTCAAGTTCTGTTGTTAGAAATAAAATGAAAACATTCAGCTTGTGCAAGCAAAAAGAAATCGCAGCATTATTTCACTACCCGTGTACATGTAGATGTAGAATAGACAACAAAACTAGATAACGGCTGAAGTAAAATGCACCTTTTTGTTTTTCTCGTACAGTTTCTCGCGGCCACGTTCAATCTAAATTAAAAAGTGCATTGTTCAACTCCTGGGAAGTATGCTTCAAATATTTAAAACAATTAATAACAAAATCCTCTAGACATTCTAAATTATTTCCATTCTTACTGCGGAGCACGAAGCGCGATTTTGTTCCTAAAGCGAGAGCAGCGAGGAATTCTTGCTATAATAATAGAAATTTGAAGGAAACGGAGGATAACATTTTAATTCATCTTAATAACGACCAAATTGCCGGAGTTTTTCTCTTTTTAAAACTCGAAATCGTCTCTTCGTTCAGTGTCTGATTTGAGTAGGTACAATAAACTAAATTACTGCGAGAACAACGAAGGCAGCAATGATATTTCGACGAAGAGGAAAAAAACAAGAGGGTCGTTCGGGGATCCGCCGGGACTGGCCCCTCCCCCCGCCGCCGCCCCCGCGCCCTCCATGCCGCGGGAAAGTGGATAAGTAGAAAGTACACGGGAAGCGCTCAGGATACTAGTATTACGCGCTATTTACACGGCTTTTTTGTATCTCACAGAAAAGGCCGGATTCTTGTTTGCGTGCCTACCTTAATTTCACAGGAAGTTTACTTTTGTGCGTAATACGAATTCATAATTAATTAAGGGTCGTCGGAATTCTTGCGTCATCTAAATGCGTGAGCTTTGGGAAGAGGGTAATGCTTGTAATGTAGATTTAAAACCTAATTGCTAATAACACTTGTAACAATTATACATGAACTTTTTCCTTACGTTTTAATTTTTAACTTTCGGTATGCAAATACTGAAAACATCATCGAACAGATTGGCATCGATCCTACCCCTTATCTAGTTGGGTTGCCCTCTTACGCCCATGAAACTTTCTTTTCGTCGCTAACTAATTCTATGATCTAGGTGACTAGACATTATAACTTAGCTTGTCATTGGCAGATATTGCCATACACATTGTTTGTGATTGGATTATCCCTTCTAAGAATCGTCTCTTTATTGCCTTTTTTAACGACAATCACACTAAAAAATTGAATAGCTTTTTCTTTTGTTTGGACATAATATAACGGTCACATTAAAATCCCCCTACAATTTACTGTTTCTACTCCCGAAAACATGTTGGACATATCTTTTCCTTTTTTCTACAATAAAATCAAAACTACTCCCGTTTGAAGTAAACTTTTTGGGTTTTAAATAAAAAGTCGAGCAGTGCGCCACACGCCACCATATCTTTTTCCCTAACTCCCGTGGACCGGAATGCAAATGTGGCTAAAACAAAATCTACCCACTACGAGAGAAATGTGTTCGTGAATCATGAAAATTTATTAGTACATTTTACTAAAAATTTGTGACACGAATTCATTTTATATTTATTTCCTCTTTTGACTGTTATATGAGTCTATATTTTTACTATTCTGTGTTTACGTTTTTTTGTCATTGTATGGATGTTTTAACTGTAGAAACTCAAGATACATTTAGTTTTGTGACAAAGGGCTTATTTTAATCTTTGATGAATTAAGACATTTTAGTTTTAGTGTTTTTCTCGTAGTAGAATAGCTGTTGACCTTCACTAATGTTTAAAAATGATTTATTGAGCTACTTTCTGCAAATTTTAACTAAAATCTAAACTGCTGTTTTTTTTCTTCATAATAAAATTTAATGAAAACAAACTAATGTTAGTATTCAAATTAATATTTTAATCATAATAAATGTTAAGAAAGAGCGTCTCGATTAAAATATGAATTATTCAAGTGTTGTAAATTCAATTTAATCAAACTCCTAGTTGTGTTCCAAGCTGCATTTGGTATACGCTTGTAGTTTTTTTATAATTTATGATAACTAGCTTAAACTTCGCGATTAATGCGAGTTGTGAACAATTTCTTGCTCGAGGAATTTCGCAGTTGGAAAAGCTTCGCATATTCTCTGTTGTATAAAAAGTCTCATCTTTACACATGCTCAACGGACCCATTAAATTTCTCAAATTTATGCAAAAATATTTCGCTTTCAACAAAAAATTCTAAAGCATACACTTTAGATACTATATTTATCTTTTTAATAACTTTATCATCTAATTCGTTATAAATGAACCATTTAAGTATTACCAGTGATCATATGTAGGTATGTATGCTGTCTTAATTGTTCGAGCACGAGCCACGGTGAAAGTTGGCCGAGCCTTTGTACTGACTCATATTTAACAAACAATATTCACATGTAAATTAGGACGGTTAAACAGTATTTGGAGGTTTTTCGTTTTAAGTATGCCCATTTAATTACAGAAGCAACACTTAGTCGTGTTACCAAGTCCATTCCAATTGATTTAATGCACCTTCCAATCAGAAAACGGATATGGGATGTATTAAATAGCAATGTTTTGACGGGAGGTGTATGGCGAGGAAAGTGATTAGAGCTGCCCCTCCCGCGTACATGCGCGTGCGCCGCGATGCGCGCCTCCGCTCCACCTCGCCTTACCGCGACGCCGGGCAGCGGGCAGCGGGCAGCGCAGCGAGCAGGTAGGTCGCGCGCGCGCGCTCACCGTGCGCTCAGTGTGCGCGCTCTCTCGCCGCCGGTGGTAGTGTCCGCAGTGCGCGGACGCATGTGCGCGAGAATGCTGTCAGTGCCTCGTCGGTGAAGTGTCATCGCTGTGGACCGCCCGACACATAACCGACGTACGACATGTCCTGTGAAAGGAGAACAAAGGCCGCGCGTTTCCTCGACCTGCGGTGAGTTCGCCTCGCCTCGCCGCGGCTTCCTGTCGCCACCGATACGACGATCCTTTGTTGATTCCTCGCCCCTAGTGATATGTGCCCGTCTCTTTTCTACGCGCTCTGTCTACCTGCCGAGCGAACGGATGCGCGGAGTGATCGTGTCTTGGTTCGTCCTGTGCCTGTGCACGGATATTTTGCGTTCGTATACATTCTAAAACGATTTTACGTCTTCTTTAATCTAAGGATGATGTACATAATTATATGCTTAAAAATAACATCGTTTGCGAGTTAAGATCACAGTGTCTGAATGACTCGGGCGCCGGTTACGTTAGCATTTTAAGTTCAAACGATTAGTTTGTGACCTTGATAAATTTGAGTTACAAAACCACGGACCCCAGCATATGTAACCTTAAGTTCTTATATTAGCGGTCACGACTGTGTTTTAACTGTTAACGTTTAATGTCCAAAGCAGTATTTGTAAAGGTTAAATAGTTGCTAGTGTTGTTTCCAGTGGATATTAAAATTGGCGCATGAGTACGAATAAAATAATGTCCTACCCGGAATCATTGTACCTATTATGAAGGACGAGTCAGTGCCCTCCGGCGGTGGCCGGTGGCGGCGTCGGCATAGCGGCGGTGAAGGCCTCGTGTGGTGGAATGCAGGCGGCGGCTCGTGGCGGCCAGGCGCAGATGTGGAGCGCGCCCCGCCTCGCTTCCCGACCTTGAAAGGCTCTTGACCATACCAGCGACGCCGATGTCGTATTTATCGCAACCTCCGCGATCCGTACCACCGAGGTTATTGACGCCTCGCAACTATTCTTTTTTCACGGGAACTCGAGTGCGCAAGAGAGCGATGCTCCGAAGGTTTTCCGCAGCCTTCTCCTCGCTGCGATTCTCACGTCGGTCCTATTCTAATGAACGACCACAATACACATTACGTCACTCGTTCGGCTAGTTTCCGCCTTCAAACTTTAGTAGTTAACAACGTGAGTCACGCAACTAACTTGCTTTATAATAAATCTGCGGTGAGCGATAAATTTATCGTTTTAGCTTTATGAACGCAACGCGCTGAGGTGCAATGTACTCATTGCGGTTAAAGTTGTCGCTGAATGTCTCAAGTCAATTTGATGGTTGCGCGTTGACTTTCAGCATCTAGTGTCTATAAATACACTGGTCGAGCAAGCGAGGGGGGGGAGGGGCATAGACGCAGGATCGATGCCCAGTCAGCTCTCGGTGAAGGTCAACTGATGAAGTTCTTCGCCCTTTAAAGTCAACATCTCATTAATTGCGCATACGGTACACATCTACATTGAACTATAAAATATATAACCTGCTCCCGAGATATGTTAAAAGAAATAAAAAATCATATTTGTATTGGAATTCACGATTTACCTCTTGTTTACCTCAAATTTCAATCCCTAAATAATACAACTTCCAATCCCTTTAACTGTTCTATGTAATTTGGTAATTAAACAGTGGTTGCTGCTCAATCTTTTGAATATCCAATTTGTATTTTACAATGAATTGAGATTCGTCGATTCCGAGTTAAAGATCGAGCCACGTTGGTCGTTCAAATAATTGAATCGAAATTAATAAGTTTCAATTGAAACTTGGTCCATTGTAGCTAATAACAAGTAGGCAATTTTCAGTCCATATAAATTTCGATTTAACATTGAAGCCGGTGCGGTGTCAGATAAGCTCTTTGTGTTTGTGTGCCATATGGCGAGATCCAACACTCCACAAAGCGAACGGGGCCGGCATATGTCGCCGCTTTCACTCCCTACATCATACGCACTCTTACATAGCTTTACGCGTACACTCATATAAATTAGACCGAAATTGCCCTCTATTATTTTAACACATATATGTCACATTTATTGTACTTGTATCATTTTAATTAACAATAATCATCTCTGAATAACCTAAGAATATGGCGTTAACGCTATGCTATTTGTTTGTTTATATAGTTTATAAATAATTAAATATCTCGCTTGATAATAAGCGTCGTGTTGTGACTTCTTTGGTTTCTTTATTCACTTTATGCGGCGAGAAGATAATAATTTAAGACGCTTGTCTTATCCTTTCAGTATTCATGTTCCTGGGGTATACATTACCATAAAGCTACGCCCTCTTTTACTACGTCCCAGTATCGTAAATTCAGAACACGATATTCTCTGTATTTAGGATATGAAATTTGACAAAATATATGTTGACATTATTACTAGTTAATAGTTTAAACACAAGTTGAAGCGTAGTTGATAAGGAACTGCCTTTATAAATATAAAATCGATATCATAAAATGTGAACGCATTATGAACTGAGAAATGTGTGCCATTATCAATGTCTTTCAAGAACATTTTTGATTTTTTTTTTAATTTCGGTCGTTACTAAACGACAATATTTTAAATAAGCATTATTTATGATTGACAACACATTTTATAATTTCACCAAGTTAATTAGCATTTATTAAAAAGGCATGCATGCGCCACCACACGACTGTAGTCGCAGCAAGGGTAGTTTTTGTGGCAGCAGCTGGTTTACCCCACGGGTGAGTAACGTCCTGTATGAGGCCCGACGTGGCGGGGTGCGTGTCGTTGACCCCACTCGCAGCCCCATGCACACTACGCTCCGCACAATTTATCCTTTGCCCTTTGTACTCCATTATATGTCGCTTTTTTATACATACGATTCCTCAACCCCGCGATTCCGTTTATTGCTGCTGATTTTCTACGGACTAGTAGCGTTACTACTGAATTATTCCTTACTAAAGTTATGTGATGTTTTTATCTCTAAGTGTTGTTAAAATCCGAGTCGCATCTCATGATCTAGGTTTATCTCGATTTTAAATAAAATATTAAAATTGCTGTATAGATTAACAATACTAAAACAAATACCTATTAATAAACACAAATATATTCGATATTCGCACACCAACACTCGCGGATAAATTATTTGTTTTCATAGAATCGTATAAATGATTTTTCTCTGTTTCGCTGCGGGTTATCGACTTTTTCACAAACAATATAAAACATGTTCACTGGAGTGATAAATATTTTACGATTTCGTGAGAGTAAAAAGAAGAGAGCATTTTGTAATGTATAGATATTAGTCACTTATAGGTTTAACAATGTTTTAAGTTACAATACTAATGAAAGAAAAATGCACAGTTAAATAACCTTTTGATTTCTTAGTTAACTGCTGGCTATACTTAAACATTATTTCGTAACATAAAAGATAGTTTATGTCCCACATAACGATCTCAAAGTTGAGTATTTAATACTTTAAATAAAGGACATTTTTCCGTAAAACAATCATTAAGTATTAGATTTCTTGTATTGTAGGCCGCTGGATACACTTCCATAAATTTTCCTTGGCGATATTACTTCGTCATCCGTCGGAAGCAATACATTTTCACGACGTTCACCACCCACGGAAGTAGATATGACGACAGATTATCTTACGACGCCGCCACATCTCATACGACAAATTTACAAAGCGCACTTTCACTCAATATGACAATAACAAACAATTGTACATTAACGATTATCATTTACCCGTGTCGAGCAACTTTCATATCACTGTTGCCTGTCTTGGATATTGTTAAAATGTATTCTTGATTATAATAAACAACAAAGCTGCGAAACATCATTTTAACATTTTTATTTACTGCTACTACCACTTGCAATGTTTTGTTATAATCCTTTAGCCATTTCCAATTGATCGGGATTAATACAGCTGTATGTTGTTACAGTTTAGAACCTAAATGTATCTGTTTTTATGTTGACATTGCAATATAGAACTTGTTAGCATGAGTTCAAAGCGAGCGTTTGAGGCGCGGGCATAATGTGTTTCAACTTATGGTCGATAGCCAAGCCGTGCGGCTGACGCCAGCGGGCCCGTACCGGTTTGCGAGGCGCGGCCAGCCGACCGGCCGAGAGGAAAAACAAATGAAACAATCGTTTGTTTTCTTTTTGCCCTCCCTCAGAGCGGAGCGCTGACGATCTTCACTTTGTGTGACTTTTTGGCTTTCGCGTTGGAAATTCGAGTACAGGCGCACGCTGCACTTTAATCTATTGCACAGATATTAAGCTCTTCTACATCAGAGGCATATACGCCGCTCGCGTGAACCGTAATAAATACAGATTGAAATAAGCCAAAAAGTTAGGGTTTGAAAAATCTAGTTCCTTTTTAAATTATGTTTGATTTTTTTCTAAATATCAGTTTTAGAAAATAATGGAATTGATTAAATGTCGCTAATTTATTTAATTTTACAAGCTATTCTAATACGGATTGAAAACTACAATCGGTATATAACAAAACATCGCACACACCAGAGTAGCATTGGTAGTACCAATATCATTAAGGTCTCTAAAAGTAACATTTACACGATTAAAAAACCTTAATCTAATTTATTAACAAGTCGTATAAATAAAGTTGAATTTAATTATCACGAAGTTCTTTTTGTCCTGATCGAGACGTACCCGGCGGGAATGGAATATAAGTAAATTTGTTGTGCCACAAATCATTTACATTTATTTGCATGGTAATGGAATCGTTCGCCTGTAATCCAATTTCGAAATGAAGTTCAATTAATGAGCCGTATATTACTTTCGAATGTTTTCTTTTTCTATCCTCATCTGCTTAGTAAAGAGTGTTGTGAACTAAAAAACGCCTAATGAAATAATTTTAGCATGCATTCGTTTTTTTCTATTATTGGCACACTTAAATTCAATGTATGGTTTTCTTAGTGTATATTTTAGTATTTTAACAGTAAGGGACTCATTTAGTTATTAAACTATGAACTGGTAAAAATGTGAAAACTTACAAATTTCCACCTAAATATTTCTTTATAGTTGTGAAACGGTTTTAAATAAGGCAGTATTTTTTAAACCAAGTGTAATATATTATTTAGATACCTTAAAATGTGTTTTAATTAAAATGACGATTACATAAATAGATCCAATGGCAGTTCAACAATTTTATTAACGTCCTCGACAGACTTTAATTATAGAACTT